GCATGAATAGGTTACTGTTTATTTACAGGGTGCTTCATTTGAGAGCGGGTGACCTACGTTAGGTGGTTGATTGTTCCATATTGCGCTTGGCATTGAAAATTAATTACTTTATACTAATGTTTTGCCACGACATGTTCCTTTGTTTGTGATGTAATGTGATACTTAACGATATTCTCCTCCTATGTATTTGAACCGGGTAATTATGATTATTAATATTTGGTAGGATAACTTGTTTCTAATATGTATTGTGCTACATTTGATACCGATATTTGATCTCGATTTGACGTAGCAGAGGGTGGCAAAAGTTCACAACTGACATACGCAGAGATATATGTATGCTTATATGTACTGTTTTTTTGTGTCTTAGAAAAGAGCCATCTTGCCCATATTGCAAATCAAGAGCCTGGCGTTCGGTCTTGAAAACCCGGCACTTTATAACTAGTGGGTTGGACTGACCCTAGAGATGTGTGAATGAAAGAGTTGGGGTCCCGCTTAGTCATCCATGAGGGCGCTGGCTAGTCCCGGCGTCACTTGCGCAGGTATCTGCTAAAAGCGTGCGGCGTGTTCTCGCCCTTTGTTTTTTGTATCCATTGGGGTATCCTTTCCGAGTGAAATCCTCTTCTGAGAGGTCATCTCCTAGCGTTTTCATACAATGCTGACCAGAGCAACTGAAGACTACTCGGTGTGGGATTTGGACTGGCTATCAAATATCCAAACTTGGTATAATATTGCATTCATGTCATTACAGACAACTAATTTTGCGATAAAGTGTAATATTAATTTGTTGGGTGGTTTTTTCTTGGTCAGTTCTTTTTTCCCATCGTTTTGGAAAGTTTTGAATTTAAATCTTGAGTTGCACAGTCTCTCGGGGCCGGCCTGGGTGCGTCACACTGTAGATGGTAGTTACGTGAAGAAATACATTTTTGTACTCAGAAAATTTAAAGAAACAACGTCCTCGTACAATTACAATTAGTTGCTAGACCCATTATCTAACTGAATAGACATGGAGCACTGGGGAAGAGCTAGTTTTCATTGTTTCAGTCTTACTGAAATCAATAACGAAATAGGCAAAGCATCTCGAAACAATTTCGTATTAAATTAATCTATCATTACCATTTACTCGCTCTCCAAATCTATTCCTTCCTTCCACTTCAGTTACTGCGTCGAACCTAAAGTAATCCTCAATAGATACGCCAATATTGTAGGGAGTATTGAATTTCCCTACACAATAAGCATCATCCTTTTCGGCAAATCTAAGATACCACAGTTCCAACAATAGTCAGTATCGAAGTTTTGGTCTACAATTTCCGCCTAAAGCGAACACTTTACAAACCAATAAATGGTTTTTATTCCCTTTGTGGTATCCTCATTGTATTTTATAGCACAGAAGGACATTAACGGTTTATTATTAATAAGAGAGAAAGCTCGTGCGTTTGATGAACATACTCAACGAAATGAGCTTTCGGTCTTAGTGGCGGATATTAAAAGTTAGCGATTAATTAAAAAAAAAGCCCCCTTTTATTTACACGTCTTAGGGCGTTGAACCAGACAGTAAAGCATTTAGTAGAAGCAAAATTATTGATATATTTACTGCAACAGTCAAAGTTTTAGTAATTAATTCAATTAAATCCCAAGTTTAATGGTGAATATTTGCATAGTATATCTTCACCATAAGCTGGAGGTCTAAAGCTTACGAATATAACACACAGAGCCGCAGAGATAATGGTATTAAGGCGTTTAATTATAGCAGTGTTGAAACACTGGGATGTGTAGTATGATCTTTGCTGGGATATAGAACGTGGCAATTATTTACGATTGTAAAACTTTATGTAACATTTCGAACAGTACATTTACATAGTATTTTCATTAACTAATGCAAGTAAAGGAATTCCTTAACATATGAACACAAGTAAATCCAATTGTAAATCAACCAAATTCACGTAATTTAGCTAGCGCAGATACCACCCGCACACCTGCGCATGCGCGGTTCTGCCCTTTTATACCCATAAATATGTGCGCTAAATTTGGTTCCAATCGGTTCAGCCGTTTAGCCGGAAATCAGAGTCAAAGTCAGAAGAATATGTATCTACTACATCTGGGAAAATGGAATAGAAACAGAAATATCCTGGGTCGCAGGCGACATTCATCACGGAACAAGCTGCACAGGAGCTAAAGTTGTGACGGTAGAAGATAAATGCCATGATTTCAGCGACGGGAAAATCACTGTAGAATTTTGGTATACAGCATTTTGATTTTTTTAGAATGTTTCTGGAATTTTTTAGAATTGTCTAGAATTTTTTACAACTTTTCTAAAATTTGTTTAGAATTATTTTAGAATGCACATGCAGACAATTATTTTTATTATTTTATACAACTTTTACAATTTTTTGTTTAGAATGTTTTAAATTTTTAAAAATTTTGAAATGTTTTATGAAACTTCATAATTTTAGTGTACAAAAAATTTGAAGTGGTTTACGCCGAGGAGATAATGACTAGAGTTTTTTAGAATCTATCTCGGAATCTATTAGATATTTTAGAATTTTTTTAGACACCTTCTAGAATTTTTTTAAGTCTTCTTTCCAAAGGCAGATGTACACACAATTATCTTTTAAATTTTTAGAATATTTTTAAATTGTTTAAAATTTTCAAAATCTTTATAACTCTAGAATTTTAGTGTACACAAAATTTAAAGTGGTTTATTATTTTGGTGTAAACTACGCTACTAAAATTTTCTAAAATATTTTTCTATAATTGTTTAGAATTTTTTGTAAATGTTCTAAAGTTTTTTAGAACTTGTGTTGAATTATCTAGAATTTATTTACAATTTCTTTCCGAACGTGTACATGCACGTTCCGAGCAGATGCATACACAATTATTATTTTCTACAATTTTGAGAATATTCTAGAATTGTTTAGTTTGCAGAATTTTTTTAAATTTTAGTGTACACAAATTTTAAAGTGGTGTACCCCCCCCGAGACTCGCAACCAGAGCACAACGACCAAACAACATCTAAATCCAAAATAATCGTGTATTTACGGCCACCGCAATTAAGTAAATACATACTGCCAACAGAAGATCGGTGTTACATTTCCATGATTCATGTTGCATTTTATTTTCTACCACAGAGCTTTTTTTCGGTGCGCCTCTGGTAGACTGTAAAATATGAATTTGATTTTCTGGTTTGTTTGTTAAGAACACCCTGTATAGTCAGAATGCTATTCAAGGAAGAACCAAAAGGAATGACACGGTCACGCCCTTTCCAGCCCGACTACCACACTTGGAAAGTTATAAATATTCGATCAGAAAGCATGGAGATGTGCCATTGGGTGTTAAATGAATTGTGTATTATCTACAACTTTTACACATGATACCGTTGGTACCTTTTCTTCAAAACCCATGTTTTCTTTAAAATGGTTCAGATGAGCATTAAAAGTATGCCGTGTTAAGGACACTCGACAGCATATTTTCTGATAAGACACAAAGAGATTAGAAATTGTGTTGTAAGAGATCTGACAGTTTTTAAATTGGATCGTCCCCGCTTTCATGCATTTCATGAAAGGAGAGAAATGCTACGCCACTGGAAATGTTTTAGCGGGAAGCGCAGCAATTTAAATTGCCCAAGGACGAAGGTTCGCGAGTGTGTGCGCATGTTTTGCCTTTCCCCAAGTGAGAAAAGGGAAGTAGATAGCTTTTGGTGGTATGTGTTTGATTCGCAAATAATGTATCCGTTATTTTACTTTGTAACTACTGTAATTAACATAGGCCATATGGTAATTGTTTTCCATTACTTGCTTGTTGAATTTTATAGTGTGTTTGCTTTATAAATTTGAATTTGCAAGGCCTTATAAAACATTGCGCATGTTCGTAAAGTTAACAGATGAGCCGTATTAGGTAGCGTTGTTTATTTGTTGGGGATGTCACATCCGTAGTTCTCTCATGTACGTAGAAGTTTTATTGAGAATGTGGCTTCAATTACGTTTATAGTATGGTTGCTCGGTATCGTGTATTTGTAATTATGAAACGACCTACAACAGCTCACAAACAAAGAAAACTAAATGAATGCAAACACAGAACCATTGAACTAAAACACTACACAGAACGAACTAATTAAAAACGGGTAATTATTTATACAGAATAAACGTTATATTACGCGCGCTCGCGGAAATCTTCAGGAACGGTCAAGAGCAGATTTCCGAGGCGATGATAATTACGGAATCCTCCACGGCGTGGCTTTTGATCGTTGATGGAACTTCTTGTATGAATACTGAATCGTTGTGAATTCGTAAAGTCGTCGAAATTTGCCTTACTATGGAGAGTTCGGCTTTATCGGTTGCCTCACCATAGGACAGCTCGACTTGATCCTACTACTTAATATGGGACAGCTCGCAGCAGAATGAAATCTAATTCTTGTGCGCTGTCTTAAAAGCCCTGTTCGACGGCGGAGAAAATGTTTCGCAACTGCGTGGGGGAAAACACCGTGGTGATTGTAGCGTGATGCGTATCAGCTACCATATGTACCACCACAATAGGAATTTTAATTTAGTTTCCTGTTTTGAATTCATTGAATAGATTAATTATTTATTAGAGCAAGATTGAAGATTAGTACAGGGTGTTAATACACGTTAGGGCATACTGTAGTTGTCGATGTTTAGTAGATATGGTGATTTTTCCACAGGTGTGGGTGGCTTTCATTTGAGATTAATATACAGCGTGTTTTAGAGTATATGGGAGATTTTGAGTATGAATAGTGTTTCATATATCCTATAACATTTTTATTTTTTTGAAACAATTTTGAATGTGATATAATAAAAAAAATAGATTTCATAACACGGAAAATGATGATTGCGTAATGTAATCTTTTAAATCACAAACTCCTATACGTCCTTGAAATGTAAGACGAAAGTGAGGTTAAATTGAGCCCCTCTTCAATAAAGAACCTCAACATTTTAGTTAAAGGAGTCTGTGTATCTTGTACGGGAAGTAAAACTGAATGTACTTACTTATTGGTGGGCACATTGGTGAGACACAGAAAGTTGTTCCTTACGCTGCGCAAGCTTGCAAGAATTTGTGCGAATGGTGTTACTATAAGATCTTCGCCGTGGCTGTAACAAAAGAAAGGAACAAATTATTCTATGATATATCTCTTCAAATACGTTGACGAACAATAGTGCATTAAACCACATTATGCAAAAAGCTATACATAACAATTGGCATACGAGTGTAAATTTAGTACTAATACGCGTTTGTAAAAAAATGTGTTTGCCGCCATGCTTTAGCCGAGGTCATTTGACACTTTGTCAAGGTTGAGACTAACATTTGCACTGGAAATACCGCATGATCGGGGCAAGGCGTGACACTTTCACTATCCCAAAATCGCCAAGAGCCATACGCCCATATCATTACATTCTGGAAGTTTAAAGATGTAAGGGTAGTAAATTCTTAACTAATTTAACACACTGTCGCATCACGCACGAAGAGGAAAGTACATGTACTTACCGGCGCCGTGTAAAAAACAACTTTAAGAGCGGGGTCGGTGACATCTGGGCGCCATCCCCAAGCGTGTTATACTAACGTAGTGATTTTCCATTTTTTTCTATTTTCCTTTACCATTCTAGGCCTATTGTTTTCAAATTGGTGTCGTCGGAAAACGCGAACAACTCCTGCGTGACAGAATTTTGTTTTTTTCTCGGGGCGAAATTAACCACCTAATATTAGGCGCGCGTCGTCGAAGGGTATTCGACCTTGAGCGCCCAAACGTTTCTTAGAGCTCTAATCTCGGTCTCTCTTGGTCGTGTCGCCAATAGAAGCTCGAGATATGAAAAGTGCCCCAAAAATTGACTACTAATCCACGAAAATGCGAATTGTCAAAAGTGGCTAACAGGATACTGATCTGCCATACAAAAATGCGCTGAAGTCCTTTCGATCTTACACGAGGACTTGGATCATTTTTTATTAATGAATTTGAGTTAGTTGCGAATGAAGGTGTTTGGAACACACCCTGAACCAGAATCAGAAAACATAAGTGACAACAGACTAAAAATGTGAACAAAGGAACAAGAAAGACCACCAGGAAACGGAGTAAGCGGACTAAAGAAGTGGTGAAACTGAGACGGCAATAGAAACTGGCATCTGGAAAAAGGAAACTAAAAAAGAGAATGCACAAAATGCAAAATATACGAAAAGCATAAACGGAAACTGGAAAGAAGAAACGAGGATCAAAAAACGGAAAAAAAACCGAAGACGAGGAACAGTCACTAAGAACGTAATCTGGAACGAGTACGACAATATGGAACCGAAATAGGAGATGGAATCGTGGAAAGAAAACGGAAACAGGACAGTGAAACATAACTGGACACACAGGTTGGTAACGGGATACCGACAACAGAAAACATAAAACAATCGAGACACGTAAGTGGGAAACAGAAATGGGAAAGAGAAACCAGAAACCCAATCCGATAATATGGAACGGAAGCTAGAAACGGCGGCTAGAAATAGGCCCCGGGGCGAGAACAAGAACAAAATCCGGAAATAGCAGGAATGAAACCTTGAAACGAGCATTCTACAACGGAAACAAGGACACAGGAACGGGAAACAAAAAAGAGAATGAGAACAAACACTGGAAAAGAAACGGAAGCACATAGGAGAGAGCTAAACAGAATTATAATACAGGAATGGGCAAACGAGAAGTAAAAGAGAAGTGGAGAGGGGTAGCGGAAGGGAGTGTAGAAACAGAAAGAAAGGGAAATCTACACCAGAAAGAGAACTAAGAAATCGATTTTGAGGCGAGCACAAGAAGCGTGAACAGGAAACGGGAAAAGAATAAAAATATGGAGTGGAAATAAGACGGAAATGTACGCAGTAAATAAAACACAAGAAAAAGAAAATGACAAGAAACGGAAATCATAATCGGAGAAATAAATTGAAATAAATGGCGCACATTCAAAATCTACGTTAAATAATGCAAGAATAACCAAGCCCTTTATGAGTACAACTCCGCTCCTTTATAACCAATCACGATAAGGGGTTGAGAAGCACCAGGGACTGTGGTTGGGTAGAAATTGGCGCTGAGACCTTTCATTAGAGCAAAGATAATAGTATTATTTTTGACTAGAGTACCACCTCCCCCCACTCCCTCCCACCCCCTCCCCCTCATCCCTAAGACAAAAAAAATTCAAAGGTCGTCTAGTATACTTTCAAGATATATAGGTTACCTATTACCAAAAATTCCAGAGCGCTAGGATCATTCCCCGAAAAGTCGTTCAAAGCCGCAGAAGTAGGCCCGTTCGAAATCCAGGGGTGATTTTTTATCGTTGGCACAAAAATAATGTACCGAAAACCTCATTAACGAGTGACAAAAAGCGAGTTCATGATTTTGGGCATTCTGTCCGTCCGTCCGTCTGTGTACATGATAACACGAGAACGGTTTTGAATTATCCAATTCTGTTTTGAGTGATAGGTAGATCAAGGGTGAAAGATGTGAAATTTAATAAGATTAATTTGACACCTGTAGGAATCTGGAATTAATATACATTTCTATCAGGAGAGGGCGGTAGTTTCGGAGACGTCATGTTTTTGACATTCCCACTAGTAGGTACCATTACCATCACCATTACATTCCCACGTCCTTCCAAACACTATATAAACAGAAACCAGACCAGAAAGGGGACTCATCATAGAATTATTGTTTTCCTGATGCTAAGCACTTCCTTTCTGTTACCTGGTCGGATGTTAGCGATTGTAAATCGCGTTCTGACACCAGCCCTGTTGAGAAATGTACCTCAGACGTGTCGGTTGTATTACCGCTCTCTCCCCCAGTTACCGTCCGTGAATAGCCGTGCTCATAATTAAGCTATACCTGTTGTAAAATTTCGGTGGACGCTGCGAATGTATATTCACGCTCGCCCGGAACAATCCCTCCTGTATATACCCTGGATAATGTTTTAGTTTTGTCGTATAACGTAAAACTTACTTGATTTGTATTGATAAAAAATTTATAAAAGAAATTGTCTTTGAAACTACCTGCCGGTTTTTGATACTGGATGCTAACCAGGTTAAATTACAGATAAATAAAACTACCAAGAAATGTCAAGGACCCGTTTTGACGTTTCCAATTGGGTCGCATTCAACAATTTTTATTTAGTTTTCTGTATAGTGTAAATATTTATTTAATTTGTGTACATATATTTTTAATCATTATATTTCTTGTATTATACCAAGGTTTAGTTAATTAAAATAGTGGTGACCTGGTATCTCCGGCTTTAGAGCTACCCAGAACAACTTCCGGTGATACTGAAACGTAGGCAACCAACCATACACAGTTTGTCTGGGCGAACAGGAGATGGTTTAAAAGGGAGATTGTAGAGGTCCTTGGGTTACGAAGAGACAAAGGGTAACCTGTAACCACTGGGACCGTTACATCCTCAGGTAGAATTTTATTGAATTTTTCATACAATCCTGTTAGAGAAATTAGAACAATTCCTTTTTTAATAAGTTTTAGTCTGACAATGGTGGAACGACAGCAAATTACTATTTCCCATTTAATCTAGAGCGTCTCGTATATTATTAATACCATTCAGTTATGTTCCCACAGCATATGCGCCGCGTTTTAATTAATGAAAATCGAAATTAAATAAATTAAGGTATTGGCTCATTAAAAATTAATATATGTTTTCATTGTGACGTTTGCAGGGTTGTTTACCCTAAACACTATTAATTAATTTTAAAAATATAGCGCAAGTATGAATGTACTGCCTACATGGGCGGAAATATAATTCTATAGCCTTCTTGAACGAAGGTATTAAAGTGACCTTCGCTTCGCTTCATTAATTGTGCATCGATTTCGTAACTGTAAATGAACTGCGCATTTATTAATTGTACTTTGAAATTACTGCATAACATTTTATATACCTACATTTGATACCATCAACAGCATTCAGAATTCAATCAAAAACTCTGTTAAAAGCTCTTTGTTATAACGGAATAACTGCAATTTCTCTTTCAGGGTTACTCATTTGCTAATACAAACAATTGAAAAACGAGGAAATACAAATGCGTAAACAAATAGCATATTAAATTTTACATATAACTGCGTCAGTGCAATTTGCAAAATTAATGCCGCCATCTACCAAGACAAAGGTAATAAAAGGAGCTTTTCATAACAAAATATATCTTTTCCTACGTAATTCAATTGCTCTCCATACAAAGTGTTACGTACCCGGTTCTCTAATATAAATTCCTCTTCACCGAGTGAATGCTGTACTTGGGCATTTCTCATATTCTTTGATTAGAAAGAGCGTTGCCATGGAAGCTCCTACCTTGCCTCAAAGTCTGAATGGAAAATTCGACGTAAATTGACCGACGCACGATGTAATTACGGAGCAAATAACCTATACTTATCGACGTTCGTTTTTTCGTTGTTTGGCGATAAAGTATTAATAATCTGACCCGCTATTTTCTTGTACCTAATGAAAAGGGTCAGGTTCGGGAGGGTCCAAAATCGAAGGAGCGCAAAAATCTAACCCCCTCTAATAATTAAAGAAAATGATTGATTTCGATCATGTTACTTCAATTATAAATCAACAATTAGAAACACAGGGCGCTTACGTTTTCGTTAGGTCTTGAGAAAAAGGGAAAAGCAATAAAAATTCTTTCCAATATCCCAATCGCAAATTGAATTTTTCATTTAATTTATTGAATCTTTTTTTTGCTTGCGTCGGGCCTACCTTAACATTGGAAATATTTATGTTCAAGACTAAAAGACAAAATTATGATCGCGTGATCGAGTATTGAGTTGTGGACTAAGTTCAATGGCGTCGCGTTGCGTGTTTGTGAATGTAGTATTGTGTTTTTATAAGTAATTTTGCCCGATATTTTGATACTAAGACACTCAAATGAAATGCAATGCTCCATACGCCACGCGGTAGGTAGGTTTTTTTGGGTATTGGATGATAAAGGGGGTAAACACTCTGAATGTCATTCGACCCCCGGAATTTGTCTGAAAAATCCACCCAAAATTAATGATTTTTTCAGTTTTACTCTTAGAACTCCAAAACGGTGCGTCGTAACGATATCTGTCTCGTTTCTTTTGTATTTGTCGCTATTT